GATGGAATGTTCTGTAGATATCTGCCAAGTCCAATTGTTCTAGAGTATTGTTTAGATCTTGCACTTCTCTGCTGATCCTTTGCCTAAATGATCTGTCTACTATTGACAGTGGGGTGTTCAGGTCCCCTGCTATTATGGTGTTAGTGGCTAACAAAAAAAAGAAGAGAGAAGATTCAAATAACAAAAATTAGAAATGAAAACGGTGATATTACAACTGATTCATCTGAAATACAAGGGACCCAAATGAAATACAAGGAATCATCCGAGACTACTATAAACAGCTATATGCCAACAAATTTGAAAATCTGGAGGAAATGGATAAATTTCTGGACACACACAAGTTCCCAAAACCGAGCCATGAAGATGTAGAAAATCTGAACAGAACAATAACAATAAAGCAGATTGAAGCTATTATCAGAAGGCTCCCAACAAAGAAAAGCCCAGGACCAGATGGATTCACAGCAGAATTTTACCAAACATTCAAAGAGGAATTGACACCGATTCTTTACAAACTATTCCAAAAGATTAAAACAGACGCAAATCTCCCAAACTCATTCTGTGAAACAAACATCATCCTGATACCAAAACCAGGTAAAAATATAACCAAAAAAGAAAACTACAGGCCNACAGAAAGGACATTGTTGGGGGGAGGGGGGAGAGGGAGGAGGGAGGGAGGTTTCGGTGATGCGCCACTATAATCAACCACATTGTATATCGACAAAATAAAATTAAAAAAAAAAAAAAGATTCATTGGCTTTCAGAGTCCTTGAACAGGACCACGGGAAATTAATAGGGAAGGAAAGGACTTTCTGAAGGAAGGAAGCTGCTTCGTTCAGAACGGGCGTGATGCACCCCCTCCAGAAGTGGCACCTTTCTCACCAAAGACAACAATTATTTGATTTTTGTGCTAATTTGCAAGGATATATGGCTGCTGTAATCTATCATTTAGATGTTATGGTTTTTTTTCTAGAAGAATATCTACCTATATAAGCACTTTAAAAGGTTGTTTCCCATTTTGTAGAATTTTAAATCTTCCTTTGTAGGTGAATGTGGATGTACAGGTAGAAAGAAAAATAAGGTCTTCTGTTAATAAAAAATAGTTAAAGTAAAGTTAATAAAAATAATTACACGTTTCTTTTGAATCAGGTCTTCTGGGATACTCTAAGTTAGATGAAAACAGTGGCCTCGTATGGCAGTTGAGATCAAGAGTGGAGTGGGCTTGTCGTAGAGTTAGGCGGTTTGTGACTTTGAAGCCAAAGGATGATTTGTCATGTGGACAGCTCAGGACTTTCCAAGTGCTGACTGTGTGTCTGTCCTTATCTTTCATTCTTTCAGAAAAACTTCACCTACTCCTATTTGAATATTTTTTACAGTTAAATTATTTTTCTTAAGACCAGAGTTTTGATGCTAGGCTACATGTCATTTGATTTGTATTTTTAATTTTATTAACACCAGATAATTGCCATTCGATGAGCACTTTTTGTGTGTGTGTGTCAGGCACTGTGCTAACTAACTCCTTTACGTGGAATAGTGATATCTCACTAAGAGAGCTATTCTGTGTAAAACTCATGGTGTAGCCTTGACTAGGTTACGAGTCTAGTTTTAGCTCCTCCATGAATTTGGTTTGCAATTGGATGATTAATTCTGCAATGTAACCTTATTCCCTGGGAAAGAGAAATTAACAAATAGTAAACTCCTGTTAACCTAGGTTAGATGAGAATTTGTTTTACCTGGGAATTACTCCATATGCCACAGATGGTTACTTAAATGAAATACACTGGATTTTAAATGAAAACTATTGAATAAAAAATTTTAATTGAGAAGTGACTATGAATTGTTCAGTGCCTTCAGATTATTATTTTCAATATTATCTATTACAGGGAAGTTGGAGAAAGTTTGGTCGTCTGGACTTCCTACTTTCCTCAGGCTTTTTGCCTGTTTCATGTAAACCTTCGTAAGAAGGGTAATTGATAATTATCAGCCCACACAAGATGTACAGAGGGTGATTTTTTGTTTCTTCATTTACAAAATGGGAATAAGTACTATCCTATCGGTTAGTTGTGAAAGTTAAGTAAATTTATATATTAAAAGTTTCTGGGATCCATCCTAGATTCTATCCTTTATTTAACTTTGGGGTGAAAAGCCCATGTAAGAGTGAACTGTTTTCTACCACTTGTTTGCAGCAAGTCCAGGTCAGGGCGATGCCCAGGGCCTTCTACAACCTTCGTACAATACCCATCCTGTGACACCAGGTGTGACTCACAGTGGAAATTACACTGTACCTTAACATAAATGTAAAAGATCCGATAAAGTTCTGGATTTCCCCATGATGATTATTTTAACACTTAAAAAATATTAAACATCAAATTCTTTAAAAAATAAAACCTTCTGGTGGTCTGCTGGTACCCAGAGAATTCTCAGGTGCCAACTGGTCAATTGAGGACTGATTGAGAAGAGCTGGGGTCCCACTCAGCTTGGCCTGGGGGTTTTGGGAGGGCAGCATTCTAGAGAGAGAGAGACCTGATGTCCACCTCCTTTGGTGCTTTCGGGAACACCTGTGACATCCTCTATTTCCTGACAGTCTCTCTCCTGCAATTCAGATAAGATGATTCCTGAGGTGCAATTTGGGGTGTGAATTGGCAGATGTTATTAGAACTGAAAATAAGTGAGAACATTACCTAAAAAATAAGATAAATGGATATTCTCTAGATTTCAGTAAAGCTTGGTGTGTGGAAGGTCTGGACGGGAAAGCAGAGTTGTAAAGGACCCTGGCTCCAGAGAGACCTCTGGGGACCTGCACTGTGGCTTGTTTCTTCTTCCAATTCCAGATTCCCTCCAGTCCCAACATCCATTGTTTAAAAACATTAGCAATTTAATGACAGCTTTTTTTGGTGCGGAGGGGCACAACTGTGTCTGGACGGGAAAGCAGAGTTGTAAAGGACCCTGGCTCCAGAGAGACCTCTGGGGACCTGCGCTGTGGCTTGTTTCTTCTTCCAATTCCAGATTCCCTACAGTCCCAACATCCATTGTTTAAAAACATTAGCAATTTAATGACAGCTTTTTTTGGTGGGGAGGGGCACAACTGCCCAACATCCATTGTTTAAAAACATTAGCAATTTAATGACAGCTTTTTTTGGTGCGGAGGGGCACAACTGTATGAATTGATACCATTGGTACACGTCTAAAATGTATCTTAGAATTAACGAAATATGGTAATGCTAATATGATAGGGCCCAGTCGTTTAAAAATATGGTAGCACTAACATCTACGTCTTGCGTTGTTGCAACAATGAAATGAGATAACACTTTATACACTGCTGGCGCACTGTAAGGACTGAATGAACAGCAGCAGGGGTTGGTAACACAGAGCACCTCTTGTTGGTGAATGGAATCTTTTTAATTTTGCTAATCAAACTCAATATTCACTAAATACTTATCAGATAACCTGCTGTATTTCGGGTACTTGCTGTATTTCAAGTACCAAAAGATTATTTACTTTTCTGATCGTTAATAGTGAATTCCACTTTCCTTATGCTTGGAAGCCATTCCATAATTTGATGTGGAGGAACTTAATAGTCCTTACTGGGTCATAAATACTAATGTGTGGTTTATAAAAATCAGGGAGTCTATAAAAATCAATGAGATTTTATTTCTAGAATAAAGTATCCTGATTTTTCTAACGTGATTTTGTTCTTTTATTTTTTTTAGGGGAATCTAGTTATCAAAGTGAAATAAGGTAAGTGTGAAATCACATTAATTTTCTGAAAACAAAACAGCCTAACAACACACACACACACAAAACTGTGAGATTTTAGGATTTATGTTACTAAAAATTAAGTACTGAAAAACACATATGCCAGTCACAAACTCACAGGGTGACATTAATTGCAGAATAAAATAGGTGGGTTGCTACTGCGTAGTTTGACTTGCTCTGGCTCACTTAGGAAATGGAGATTTTCTTAGTGTCTGGCACTTGCAACTCTTTCCACAAGAGGACACTGCGCACCGTGACTCGTCCCTCCTGCTTTGAGTCAAGGCTAGGGACACCAGCAGAGGTCCTGTTGGGACTTCTGGGGCAGTGGCAATCAGTGGATGCCAGAAGCCTGGCAGGTGGGTGACACTGGCCAGGTACACAAATTAGGCAGGGTTTGGTGCTTGTTAACTGAGCAGGGAGGGCGGGATTGAAAAACTCCTCTCATTCCCACACCATCCAGATGGAGCTGCAAGCACTTCTAAGGTAGCTATGTCAAGGACTTACAATCATATGCAATAACCAGTTTAAATGTCTGCAATACTCACATTTACATTGTCATAAATGCACTTAGAGGAGGGTTTTTAAGACAGCAGTGGTTTCGTTGTGGGTGTTTTAACCAGCACATCTAGTTTTCAATATTCTATTAAACAATTTAAATGTTGTAAATGCTGAGACTTAAAAATACCTGTAGGCTGCCTACTGTGAATGGATGTGTGTAATCACCATGTGACAGATACTATCCATTCTCGCTCGATGCCTGGTAATAATGCAGTTTTGAGAGAGGCAGCTGTGCTCTGAGGACACCATAAAGCAGCAATCTGAAAATACACCTGCTTTGGGGTCTGGATGAGAGCAAGGGAAGAGGAAGGAAAACTGACCCTGTAATTATTCTGGCATTTCTCCTCTCTCTCTCTCTCTTTCTCTCTTTAATTGTAACATAGTAGATTGTACATATCTGTGGGGTACAGAGTTGAATATCAATACCTGTCTGCAATATGTGATGCTCAGATCAGGATAATTAGTACGTTCAACAATACACAATGCAATGATTTTTCATGGCTCTTTAGCAAGTCTTCCCTTACCCGCTCCCCCTCCCCCTTTCCCACTGCTGGCATTTTTCTTGATTGCTGTTACCAGCAGGGTCCAAGCCTGAATTCTTTGCCGCACTGTTGACTGCACCAACATCTTTTATTTCTGTTGTCTGGGATCTTAGGTGATTTCAAAGCACAGTACAGTGTTCAACGGCTATTCAGGGTGCTGGATAAAGAACTACGACAACCAGAACAGTAGAACAGTCGATGACATTAGTTAGTGCATGTTGAGCGCCTAACGGGCACGCTAGTAGTGTTCGAAAGTTTGCAGAGGTTTTTACCTTAATTCTTATCAAGATTTTATGAGATTATTTGTCCATTTTATAGATGAGATAACTGAGATACAGAGAGGTTAATTAATGTTCCCAATACAATAGTTCCCCATGCCCGTGGCTTCGCTTTCAGTTTCTTACCTGTCTGTTGCCAACCACGGCCCCCAAATAGGTGAATACATGCAGTACAATAAGATACAAGGGTGTTTCAAAAAGTTCGTGGAGAAATAGAATTAGAGGATGATATGAATCTTTCCAGGAACTTTTTGACGTTCCCTTGTATTTTGAGAGAGAGAGAGAGAGAGAGAGAGAGACCACATTCACATAAATTTTATTACAGTATGTGCGATAATTGTTCTATTTTATTACTAGTTACTGTTGTTAATCTCATACTGTGCCTATTTTATAAATTAGTTTACCATAGCTATGTATGTATAGGAAAAAACATAGGATATGTAAGGTTCAGTACTATCTGTGGTTTCAGGCATCTCTTGGAATGTATCTGCTGCAGATAAGGGGGGCTACTGTATTTCCAGTCTAGAGAGTGGGAGGGTTGGAATGTGAACTGGCCAGTCCTGCTTCAGGATCTGGGCCCTTCGTCTCTGTGTCGCTCTTGTGCTTAGACCAGACTGTACCAGGCCCCAGGCTGGGAAGGATGGCTCACTGGATACGCATGCCCGACCTGCTTTTCCACTGTGTTCCTGGTGCTAACTCCAGCTGCTTGAAGACTTCTTTTACATCAAAATAACATACTTGTATATTTTTTCTTATAGAATCAATTCATGTTTATTGTACAAAAAAATTAAATATAAAGATAGGTATAAGAAATAGCTTTGAAATTGAAATCACTCATAGTTCTGGTGTCCAGATGTACTTATTGTTATCTAAGTGTATGTACTTACATGTATGCGTGTTCACATATACACACAGAGACGTGCACACACATGCATTTCATAAAATTTGGATCATAACAATAATTATCTTATAGCTTGCTCTTTTCCCTTGACACTATTCTGAAGATTATCTCTATTAACAAATACTTGCCCACAACATTTTTGTTTTGTTCGTTTGGTAAAGTTTTCATTGAAATATAAGTACAGAAAAGTGCACAAATTGTAGGTGTGTGGCTTAATTTTCACAAAGCACATGTGCCTGAGCCTTGACTGCCAAAATGCAAAGTTAGAACATCCTCAGTGCCCTGAAATCTCCCCTCCGACCCCTGTTAAATCATTGCCTGCCTCTCCTCCCCAAAGGCTTCATTCTTCTGAAATCTCTTCCCACATTCTCAGAAATTAGATTCATGTAAACTTTATATAAATGGAATCATATCGTGGGTATGATTCAGACCTGCCTTCCTGAGCTCCATACTGTGAGACGGATCCATACCGAGTTACGTAAGTGTAGATGTTTTATCATTATATAATATTATGTTCTGGGCATATATGCAATTTATTTTTCCCTTTTGCTTTAAATGGGCATTTGGATAGTTTTTAGGTTGGGGCTGTTAATAATACTGCTGCTTTGCACATTCTTGTATGTGTCTTTTGGCGAACATAAGTACTTATTCTTGTTTGGTGTTTGGTCGGGTACACATCTAGTTGTGACAGCTGGGCATAGGGTAGGCATGTGTGCAGTTTTACACGATGCTGCACAGCTTTCCAAAGTAGGCGTACCAGTTTACACTTACACCAGCAGTGCATGGGAGTTCTCATCGACAGTGATTTTAATAGGTGGTGTGAAATTTTATTTTAAAGACATGTTGTCATTTATTTTACCTTCCCCTATTGTTGGGTCCCTGGGTTGTTTGCAGTTTTTGCTATTATAATAGCTTATGAATGAATATTCTTTCAAGTGTATCTTTGTGCATATTCTTGATTATTTCCCTAGAATAAATTCTTAAAGATTGAGTATGAACATTTTTAATTCCTTCGATATTCATCGCGAATCTTCCTTCCCCTAAGAAGCTGCACCAATTTTGCTTTATTTCAGGGGTTGGCTCACTTTTCCTGTGAAGGGAGTACACATTTTTCTATAAAGGGGATAAATATTTTTAGTTTTGCTGGCCATGTGGTTTCTGCCACAACTACTCAACTCTGCTACTGTAATATGAAAGCAGCCACAGACAATATGTAAACAAACAGGTGTGGCTGTGTTCCAATAAAACTTTATTTATAAAAGCAGGTACTGGGCCAGATTTGGCCCAGGGGTCATAGATTGCTGACCCCTGCTTTATTTAGTCAATGGTTTCTGAGAGTTGTGTACCAACTTGGGAGTGGAGCCCATGAATCTATCATGATAAAGTTCCATCATCCCCATAATGGAAATGTGTGAACACATGGACTGTCTACACCTGCTACCCAGAAGCCAGCAACTGATCTGTAGATTTCTGGGAGTAAGTTCAATGTGGAGGAATGCTCTGAGTGTAACCATGTGAACCATGTGCTGATTAACATTTGACTTTTTTAAATGCTCTAATTCTAGGATATCTGCAAATGTGAAAACAAACAAAGGAACTTCTGAGACGAAGTTAAAAAGTGGAAACGAGAACTATGGATACAGTTCAGATGAACCAAGGACCACACGTGAACGTACAGGTGGGCAGGAGAAAAACCTGGAAAAGAGGGTGTTGGAAGCAGGGCTGGCTAACTAGACACCAGCTTCACAGAAGGATAACATAGCGATTGGTGGTAATTATTTTTTGGATAATTTTTAGAAGAAGGAGAAATCCTAGCACAAGGAATATTCTAGGAGCAGGTTAACTGTAAAAGTACACCTATTTGTCTAAAGCTTAAAATAAAGTGAGGTGGAAATCTGAAAGTTTTTAAAAATCATTTTTTTCCCCATGCTTTTTCAAGTAAAATCAAAACTCAGCAAGAAATCTGTTCCCATTAAACATTACAAGGTATTGAAGGATTTGGGAGACTAAACCCACCTTTGCAGAGTCTTCCTTGTAGTATCTCATTTTCCTACCTTTGGACGATACAGAGTCATAATGGGGTGGGGAAATCTCTGAAGGCAACATCACTGGGAAGCAGTGGCAGTAGAATTTGTAAGGACCTGAAAATCTTTTTCTTTTTCCTTTTTTCCCCACTAAATTGGGACTATATTCTCAGCACCACCTTCTTTTGGTTTTACCACTGCTGCCTATCTGTATTCCAAATCATACACTTTGGATTTAAAAATTTCCATAAAGCATGGACTATTTCCTTTGATAATTTGACCACAGCGTCTTGCAAAGTTTCCTGTGAGTGAATATTTGTTCATTAGTATTTTGACCAATTAATCAAGTACCTTGACCAAAATCATGGCCAAAACCAAACCCTTCTGCCCCATGTGCCGTGTATTTATTTTCCTTGGTCAGCTGCTGAAGCTGTGGATTGATCTTGTTTCTGGATGAGGTTAATGCATCAAGAAAGAAATCGATTTTAAGTCAGTTTTCCATATCTTTGCATTTAAAAAGTAAAGTTCTAGAAGTATGTAATCTCAAGGGAATGTTTTAAAAAAGCGTGTTTGTAGTTAGGATTATTTTATGCCAGGGTATGACATAAAAGCAAGCCTGTTTCTTTATAAATCAGAATTGTTAGACTGTGTAGCTTTTTTTTTTTTTTGTCACTTATTACTCTAAAATCATTCTTCTGTTGCAGAGATTGCTTCCCTCCCACCCAAGTCCCATGAATTCAGTGTTCTGGAACAACATAGCAGGAGCCATCCTCATCAGGTGATCTAAGCCACTTTCCCCCACCCTATTTTTGACTTTTTTGCATTTAGAAATCCTTACCTTATGGTAAGTGGTTGTAACATGGCGCACGTTGTATATTCATGATGGAAGAACGTTGCCTGTCCTTACCTCCGCATCAGTTGGTCGGCCTGGAGGGAGCGGGGCTGAGATGTGGACAGTCTCTTGCCCTCTGTAGCAGTGGCTCCCAGGCCAAGGCTGGGGCTGCGCAGCAGCTCTGTCTGCATGATGGTGAGCAGCATGTAAAACCTGCCATTTGTTCTCTCTGAGCCAAGTTCTCCCAGGACTGGAGTCAACTGGGTGCTCCTGGCTACCTGGCACCCACATGATGCACATTCATACCTGGTCCTCAGGCACTTTGGCTCATGGAGGGATGCCGGGTGCTGGGTTGGAGGAGCAGGACAGAGAAGATGTGCCCGCTCTGCAGGCAGGATCTGTGCCAGTGAGCTTGAGAACTGGAAAAATCCTGCTGGGATTAGAATTTTAGGGGAGAAAGGAGGAATCCCTGATGTTTTAGGAACATGATTTAGTATGACTTAGGGGCTGGAGTTGCCACTAACTGAGATGGGGAATGTTGTGGGTAGAGTGGGCTGTAAAGGGAAAGATCAGACTTTAATTTGGAACTTGTAGGTTTTGAGGTATCTGTTAGATGTCCACGCGGAGACATTAACCATGTAGGCAGGGGCACAAGTCTGGAGTTCCATGGAGAGATGTGAGCTGTCAGTGTTGCTGGTTGTTAAGCAGTGCTTGGATGGGCACTGTCCTTTCACAGGACAGTTAATTTAAAGAAAACTTTGAGGGAAATGTGAGGACATAGTATGTTAATTTTCTGATACAGAGTCAGCATTGATTATCATACAAAATGAATTGGAATTCATTTGCAGAAAATAAGTTTTTTTTTAATATGCAAAATCATATTCAGTAAGAAGTACATATATAACCAGTACCGCTTTCTGACCAGTACAAATGTAACTTCAAACGAAAAGGATTTCACTGTGGTTCTGTGACAATGTGCCCTGTAAGCATGGATGTTCTCTGCTCTTAGCTTTTGGAAAAGCTAAGCTCAGAGCTTGGCTTTCTGGCAGCACTATGGATGTGATGGTTTGGGTTTGTTCTGCAGGCTGCTGTAGACTGAGGTGGGGAAGCCCAGCATGTGCCTTTGCAGTCCTGATCCTTCTTCCTCGCATAGATATTTACTTGGATTTCCTTCTGGGCAGCGTTGGGCCATAATATCCCTCCTTGCACCAGGGATATATACATCCTGCTGGTGACGTGTGCCTTTCAGGCACTTAGGGAGGAGAGGGAGCTCTGACTGATGCTCAATCATATATGGGGAGGACCCAAGTGATGTTATTAGTGGCAATACAGGTGGGAAGACATATGAGCGGTCTGTGGCACAAAAGGAGATGGACCTAAGTGACAAATTGTTGGCTCCCAGTATGAGTTCTGCTATGTTCTTCAGGCTGGTGTCAGGAAGATGGACAGGCAGATTCTTTCTATCAAGACTGCTGTCTTTGTCACATCTATCTTTGTACGCATTTAATTGGGAGCTGGAAGGGATGGCTCTAGAAACCCAACAGGCTTCATTTAAAATGGTCCATCTCTGACTAAGAGGAGGAGAGTGGAAGGAAGTAATTGCCAGGCTGTGAAGTCCCCCATGACTGGGCTGAGTGGGGGCTGCAGGCTGATGAAGGGCCATAGCTGGCTGAGGGGCTGTCTCCCACCCAATGCCATGCACGGACAATCCAAGAACACAGTTAAGCCAACCGTAATTTCTGTGGCCTCTCTGTGGTTACTTTCCCCCTAGATGTCAGAGTTCAAGTCTGGGTGGTGGGGAGCAGTTAAGAACAGGGAAGCGATTCAGAACAGGGTCATGTCAGATAACTCCTTTTGAAATGCCTCTAGGATAAATGAGGAAAAAGGGGAACTCTGATGTGTCTGGATACAGGAATGAAGAATGCATTTCAGGCTCTGAGTGGATGCTTCTTAAAGCTTGGAGTGTTGTTTTGAAAATATCCAGGGAGAGAAATTGAAGAGGTTTCTGCTACCAAAACCCATAATCAGCTAAATAGTCTATTTGAGGAAAAAGAACAGTGGCCCTCGAGTTGTGGAGCCCTGGGGACTGGTAATATACCCTGTGTTTCTTGAAGTGTTTGTGAGCTTCTCGGGAAGCCGTACATATTGCAGAGAGCATCAGGGTCCTTCAGAAACAAATCAGGACTCTAGGAAGATGAATTGCCTTTGCCTGGGCTAGAAACTAGTGAGGGTTATTAAATAGTTGTACCTTTAGACAGGCACACGTCCGAAGAGGTCAACCTTTGATCATAACCAGAGGGTGCCTTTGCAGGCATGGATCCTGGAGCTGTCTCCAGCTGCCCATTTGGAGAAGCTGGACTCAAGATGTACATGGACTATGCTTTCTGTGAGCACTTAGAGAAGGGCGTGAACAAGATGAGCCTTAGAAGAAAGCGCTGGGACTAGGAACATGGTAGTTTCCCTCCATGTCCTTGGTCCAAAGAGGACATAGTCCTGTGTGTGGTCAGCCAGTCACTTGAGAACTGCAAGAGTGGCCAAGTTGCAGCTTGCAGAAGCAGATCAAGGTGATCTTTGGCACAGAGGCTCCTTTAAAGAGCTTTCCGAGGCTAGACCCTGCGGCCTTGCCTACCTATGTTGCCAGGTTCTTGTTGTGTGGCTGATGAGGGCCTCAGCACTCAAATCAAAAGTCTAAAGACAATGCAGTCTGTGCCTTCCTTTCTCAAATCCTCTTTCCATTCTGCAGTGAGCCTTGCTCCCTAAAGTGCCCAGGAGAGGCAGCTGAGAGCTATTCAGAGCCGCTTCTCATTTGTCCTTTCTTCCTCCTCTCTACAGACCTCAGTGTGACTTCAACTTGTCAGAGCTGATGCCAGGTGATTCCGTACACATATGCCTCTTGGGCTCCGAGCTTGGGCCCAGCGGTCCCCTGTCTGAGGAGCTGGCTTATTAGAGTTCAGGTCTGTTGACTACAGATTGCAGCATTTTGCAGAGAACCCTCACAAAGCTCAGGTCCTAAAAAGCCTGTTGATTAAACCAAGAGCTCTCAAGCTGTGAGTCAGTCTGCAGCAGATGCTCTTCCCAGTCTCGGTTGCTGTGGAGCTCGTTGGGCCAGATGAATGGTCTGTGCATGGAGATGTGGCATGTGCAACAGCACTAAAGCTCCTGCTTGGTACTAACAGGTCCTGGGGTGGGTGATCTTGGTTTTGTAAACAGTATGCACCGTTGGGCTGTGCACCTGCTCTCCGTTCATGCTGCTTTTCTCCTCTGCTCAACCTGGTATCTGTTCGCCCTCAGCGTTGTCTGCAGGTCTTACCTGAGGAGGGGCCATTGAGTACACACAGTCTAGCACAGCAGTCCTGGGAGCTCGGTAAACAGTTACTTATTAAAGTAGAGGAATATCTTCAAATCCTAGTTGGGCTGTCATAAGCAAGGTGCTATAAGGGGCACGCATGTGCATATAGACACAGTTCCTTTGCTGTATGTCGCAATCCAATTATGACAAGAAATATGAGCAGACCACCTTAGCTGAACATACAACCTACACATAACATTATGTTTGGGGTCATTAAAAAAACTTATGTAATTCCATGTCAAATTGCCATTTCAGTCCTTTATGGCCTGGGGCACTTTGGTTTTCATGAAGGGTCTCCTGTTTAAATATGCTGCTTTGAAGGGGAAGCCAGGAGCCAAGGGTTGCCTGTAGGAATCATCCATGTGGTCTTTGGGATGCCCAGATTGGTGGTCCCCACCTCTGACTTCTGGGCTCAGAACAGTTGGGGAGGCATCTGAGCATCTCTGCTTTTCAGAACAACTTGATGTGGCTCTGATTGTGGCTGAGTTTAAGGGTTCTTGGTTACCTTACAGCAAGATGGGAATGGGGATTGTTGGAAGGGAAGAGTGGCAGGTCACCAAACATTAACTTGCTTATTTTGTAATTTCACCCTGCTCAACAGGTGCTCACTAATTATAATTCCCTCAGTGTCCCAGGGCATTTGTGATGTCCTGTGCTTAAGTATACTGGGGAGGGGTTGTACTGTGCCCCTCCCAGGTGTTGACGGAGCCCCTACTCTTACCACCTCTGACTGGAGTCATGTGGACTCCGCTCCAAGCAGAGGAGGATGCGACACAGCACTTGTGGGTTTGTGAGGCTGGAAGGGCAGCACGAGGAGCAGGCAGTGTTTTAGGGTTACCTGTCCCCTTGCCTGCAGTGCCTCAGCCCCAGCCCCTCCCTGAGTTCCACACACCTGTGTCTGCATCTCAGGGCCGCTGTGGGCCTCCCCATGAACACCTTCATCATGCATCACCCAGCACCACTTTAATGACATCCAATGGTGACCAGAACAGGAAACTAGAGATTTAGTATTGTAGGAAGGGGTAAAAAGCCCCATTTGCCACTGCATCAGCCTCCCCTAACTCTTGCCCCTTTGATATCCTTTCAGTTAAGGTGTTGAAGAACAGAATGCCAAGGCCCACCCTGCCATGGGGAAGAGGAAAACAAGGCATGGGGGGTGGGGGAGCTCTCTTTCCAAACCCCTGCTTGTCTACTGTGGGCTTGCGGAGCTGACAGTCCTTAGGAGAACTGCAGAAGGACAAGGGCTTGTCTCAGGGACAGTGGCATGGGACAGGACAGGCTATGATCAGAAGCCATGGGGGAATGATGGCTCATATGGGCCAGGTCCACAGATGATGCTGGGCTGTGTGCAAGGGGGAGAGGCCCAGCTCCTGAGCTGTCAGCCCCAGGCTGCCTGGAGCTGCGCCCCATGCTCCTCCCCACAGCTCTGCGTCCTCCCCTGCTGGGTCTTCCCTGAACATGGGGCGCAGTCCTCGTTCCCGCCACCACCTGGCAGAAATGGGGGATGTGTTTCCTGAATCCTAGATCCTTGTTTTCCCAAAGAACGCTTGCTGCATATGGAGGTGTGCCCAGCACCTCTAAACACCTACATCGCTGCATGCTGCTGGCTTAGCAGTCATTTCAGTACAGCATGCTTCCAAAGCACTGTGGGAGGTAGTTCTCATGCAAACTCCTGGCCCTTCCAGACTTCCTGGATCAGAATCTATGGGAGATAAGGCCAATGAATAGGTATTTTCCCCCTGTTTCCCAGGTGATCTGCTTTGAGGAAAATATTTTTGAGGCCCATTGTGAAAACATAACAGACACATATAGCATTGTTTCTAAGGGAGGGCAATCTCTGATTTCGAGGGGTTTTCTTACAGCTGTGCATTTGAAATTCCTTCTACCTCACATCCCCACAGAACTAGCCTAGCCACAAAGCACAGAGAAGAGTTTGAGATGCTTAAGGCAGTGTGGTGATCAATGCCAAATGAGAGCCCTTGACTCTGAGGTCCTCTGCCATCCACATGGCACCCTAGCGGGGGCATACTTGCTTAAACCTCTCATAGTTTACAAAGCACTCTGTGCATTCAATATGAATGAAAGAAATAGGATTTTAGGCTGTAGAGACCACAGATCATGCATTAAATTATAGGGCGATCAGAAGAAAAAAAGAGATTGATTTTCAGAAGTGACGTATACCAAAACATGACATTTTTCTTCCCTGATTATTTCTATTTTGACCGAATCTACTGTTAGGATGTCTAATACTGATACTATGTTCTAGACAAGAGTTTCTATTGACAAAATAGTTAACTCAGGTGTAACTGGAGCTATAACACATTAGGACAAAACTAATCAATAAAATTAGAAATTCTTACTAAAAATTACAATCACTTAATGGGAAAGGCAAAATTTTTATTTTTATAGGAAGTCATGGGGTTTACAAATGTTTTGCATCTTGATGGATATTTAAAACAAGTAATTCCCCTTTTCCTCTCCTCTTTCTGTGACTTAACTCACTGTCAGTTAATTTTTTCTGATTGTTTTAGGAAATTCTGTCTCTTTCTCTGTCAGTTTTGGAGAACGAGCATGTGAACAACTTGAAACCTGGATCAGGGCTTCCCCACTAATCACTCTCCCTATTGAGACAAAGAGAAATAAACTCTTGATGAACGTAGAAAACAGCAGAGAAAACAAAGCAAACAGCAGCAAAAATCTCAAGCACAGTCACAGCGGAGGGCACTGTTCATATAGCACGCTACTGAAATGCCACCACCAGCCTTCGGTTTTCCTCGTGCTCTTGGGAGTCAATAGATAAAACCATGAGCCAGGATGATTCTATCCTCAAGACTTACTAACATTTCATTGCAACGTGAATAATTTACTGTGCCCAGTTACGTTATTTAAGATGTTAAATGCAGCCACGGTGCCCTGGGAATCTGAGCTGGGATTCTCAGGACTGGCAGGAAAAACATGTTGCACATGTTTTAATGGGTCAGTACTATTAGACTGGGAGTGGCCCCTCTGGAGGGTTAAGTGGTTGGTTTGGGATTACATTTCTCAATGAGAATGGCAGAAACTACACTCCCTCCTCCCATGAGCCAGCACCGCCAAGGGAGACAGATGGGTGATCTATTTGGAGTCAATCCTTCTGTTTTGCCTCCTTCCTTTAGAAGAAATGCATGTTATTTAGAGACGTTTAAAAATATCTTATATTTTCATAAAAAGCTAGCTGGTAAAGCAATAACTTCCATAGGAAAATTGAAAAACAAAACAAAACAGTGAGTCATGGTGGTAATTTGCCTGCATAAAAACAAATATTGGATTCTTTGAATTGGATTCTTCTTCAGGCCCTGAACTTGGAAGCCTTCTAGAGTGTATATTATTGAAAATAAAGAAATAAGGGAAAGATGCATTTTAGCATCTTTGTTCCTCTCTGTACTCTAATTTTATCTTCTCTGATGTGTGGAGTTTCCTTCTCAAGTGCATACTTTATAGTGATCTCAACTGACCAAATTGACTCTTTTTCCTTTGTTACCAGGAACCTGATCGACATCGGCCCAGCCCAGCAAGTCGTCCACAGGTTTCTTTTAATGTGGCCAGTCCTAGGAGGGTCAGGAATGTAACTCTAGTATAGTAGAGACTTCCCGGGTTTCCGTCTTGCACTGTGGACAACTCACAACACAACGATATCATCGTTCCTCCTCATCCTAAGACGGGGCTCCAGCTTGGCCAGCGTTACCCAAACAGACGATCTCAGAATCATCAAAACTGAGATTTTATAGTGAGAGGACAAATTGATTTTCCTAGGCTTCAAAGTCAAATTACACTTTTGAAATGTTTCGAGGTTTTAGTAAATTCCATAAAGTTACTAAGTAACGCTGCAAATTCATCACAGTAATGTTTCTCATAATGCAACACTCCTGCTTGGTGACCCACTAAGTGGTAGATAAATCTGTATTCTACCATGACTTTAAAAATGTCTTTATTATTTTAAATCATATTAAGATGTTATTTAAGGATATTTAATATATTGGGGGCATTATTGCAATTATCAGTGAAATAAGAGGATAAAAATTAGGATCAATCAGAAATCTAAAACTGGCTGGCAAATTGGAGCTCATAGGCTAAAAATAAGATTAAATTTGAATGCTGATGCACATGTTCCTGAATACCTCATGAATGGATATCTACGTGAAGACATTCATTTTTATCTCCTCCCTTATCAGTCCTGTTCTCATCACCTCAAATGAATTAGCTGTAGATTATGCTTTGTAAGAGATGGACTTTATTTACTACAAATATTATGAAAAAATGGGAAATGCGAAATGTGTTTTTTAATAAATAAAAAAGAAAATACCAAAAAACTTGTATTGTCTTTCTTTCTTTCTTTTTTTTTTTTTTTTTGTCTGTATTGTCTTTCTTAACTCTTTTCTATTCAGGCTGTAGTTTAAAAAAACAGTGTTTACAAATCAAGCATTTTCTAGGAGGGAAAACAGGAGAATTCTATAAAAATCCATCCCATTCTCATGTTTGTCTTTGACCTCTGTACATTTGCCTTATTTAAAGTTAACATGAATGTTGTTAATAAGAGTGAAGTTGCTGGCTTTTCCACATGTTTTTCTTTTTTCATGTGGATATGCTCAGTGGATTTCACTGTCTACCTCACTTGTTCATATTTAACCTAGAGGCAGGATTATTATTTGACTGAGCTCTGAACTGGTTTGTACACATTTCTATGCTGCTTAGTAATTAGCACCTGCTCTGAGCCCCACATGCCCAACCATGCTGTTGTTAAAGTATAATTTATTTTTCAAAATATGTCAAGATTTTAGTGAATTTTTTAAAGTTACCAAGTGGAAGACTCTAATTCATCATGAAGATGTTTCTCAACACTCCTGCTTGCTAATCCAATAAAGTCTACTACTACCATGATTTATAAAGACCTTTATGATCTTAAATCACATTTAGGCCCTACCCTGGGCCTCCTACTATGAGCTGATGACTAACTCAGGAGGTATTTCCTGGAGCAACATGGGGCTTTGGTGGGTATGTTTTGATTGGCTGATGCCCGTACGGTATCCATTCTGACTGGTCAGGGCTCATACAGTGCCTATTCTGATTGGGTGGTGTTCATTCCTTACTGGTTGTCAAATATTTTGAATATCACCACTGCTTAGAGGACCATGAACAAAATGTCATCTCTTCTAGGCCTGTGTCTCTAATGTGAGGCCCATGTTCTTGAGAGTAGATCTGAAATGGAAACTCTCAAAAACCCATGAATGTTGCTATATCACTTTCCTAAGAGTCCTTTCTATGGAAAAAAAAATGCCAACTCAACTGTTTAAAAATGAGACTCTTATTTATTATACTAATTTCTTTACCCCCTGGTAGGGTGGTTTGGTTTCCACACTACCATCCTTGAAAAGGTACAAGGAGAAGAGAAAGATAAGACAGGTTATGAGGATCTTCAGTCAGAGCAAATGCATGAACTCCATATTCTCCACTTAATAGTTTATTCTCTCTAAACCACCACAGAATGTAGATCCTAAGACAAGGCAAATGTCATGTCATTTATGCCTTTTACAACCTTTGCAGCACCTCGTATACTGCAAGTGTTCAATAAATATTGACATCCGACAGGTCAGTATTGAGAAAGGCAGTGTCTTGAATATAATGAATATTTGCCCTCAGCCTGTGATAAGAATCACATTTCTGAGGTTATTTTAGGAGTCATGGGGATTTCATATAAAACATAATTGAACTTTAAGTTTTGGACTCTGGAGGACAACGCTATATGATTTTCATAGAATTTTCTTCAACTAAGTACATGCTTGTTGAATCACCCTCAAAATATTTTTTCATTTTACCAGACTGTGGGAATTTTTGTGATATTACTAATGGACAGGTTCTTCTTTCTGTATTTACTCCAGGAGTAAAGTTTCTTGAAGGGATCGCTGGCCAGTTTTTACTTCACAGAAGGTAGATACGTTATCTGAACAGAACTCTCTAGAGCTGTGCTGTCCAACACCATAGCCACATGGGGCTATTTAAATTTAAATTATTTAAACTAAATAAAATGTAAGATTCATTTCCTCAGTTGCACTAGCCACATTTCAAGTGCTTAATAGCCATATGTGGTCAGTGGCTACTGTATTGGGCAATGCAGATGATAGGATTACACTGTTGCAGAAAGATCTATTGGACAGTGTTGATCTAGAGCAACTACTTGGAAATGACCTTGATGTGTCAAGGATCGGCTCTCTTACACAAACACACAATCCGTGTTTATTCAGTGCTATGTCTGTGCATTCAGCCAGTTTCTATTTAGGAGTCCTGCAAACCCCAAGGCAGCTCTCAACTGAAAATGGTGTTTTGCTGATGTGGTAAATTCTCTCACTTCTGCAATGCAGAGAACCGAGACAGGCTCAGGGGGGGTGGGTGTGAGGAGTCAATCATAGGAAAACTTCACGGTCAAGGTTGTTTCTCGGAGGTAGGTGCAAATCTCTGCTAATGTATGGCTGACAAGGTTGAAAATTTATTTAAATAAACATCCCTCAAAGCCTTGTGTCATAAAACCATTCCTGCCTGTCCCTCCCAGGGGTCTTTGAACCTTGGTGAATTTGTCAGATTCCAAGCCTGCCCCATGACATCAAGGATCTTCTGTAGTTTACCTAGAGAAGGACTCAAGTGGTGACGTCAATATCTTGAAGATAATGGAGAGCTCCAATAGAAGCACACCTTTTTCTTTGTGTGGCCCTGACCTCAGAAAACCATTAGGGACATTTGAGTTTGGTTGCATGTTCCTAGGAGTTTGATGGCACGAAAGGCAAGGGGATGCTGGGGAGCTTGCAAAGTCTTCTGTGCCAAAATTGAACGCTGTCTTTGAAGTGCTTGTGATGTTATCGAGGAAGAACTCTCATCCTGTGTACAGATGGAGGGTAGTCTTCTCTGTGGAACAGTGGAGAACTCAAAGAGTTTAAAGATGAGAGAAATGGGTGATTGAGGACAGGAAGCAAGGGTCCCGGGGAAGGGAGCATGTGCCGAGGGTCTTGACAGCTGGTGGTCCAGCAGCCCTAGAGCAGGATCCGTAGGCTGAGGGGCTGTTACCATCCATCTGGCTGACAGGGCATGAAGAGGCTGCCAGACCTGGATGGAAAGGACTGATAGTAGCTGTGCCCTTCGGCAGAGGGACATGACCTGCTGTGGAGGTCTGACCAGGAGGGAGTCAGCATGACAAAGACTCCAGCTTGCCTCTCCATGCTCTCAGTCTCCTGCTTGAGCCTCCCCTAGGCCATTCCTGAGGTGTTGGGAGCCCATCGATGTGGTCCAAACAAACAGTCCCCTGAGAGGACTGAGCTGGATGAAGAAGGGTGGAAAATGGATGTGGAGGAGCATTTTGGAACATTTAGAAAACAGAAGTCAAGGAATGGAGCATGTGTTTATAAAGTCAGAGGGAAAGACATTCTGCTTGGAGCCCCTCACTGCTTCCCTTCCTGAAGGATGGAGCCACCCACCAAAGGAGGACTTCACTGGCCACGTTGGACCTGAGTATCTCCCGTCCTTGGTGCCCAGATCCACACCAGCAGAACAAGGGGACTGGATGGTGGAGCCCTGAAGTCCCTTCTGGAGCTTATCTTCATAGAGGTGTAGACACACACACACACACACACACCCTCACCCTCATGGCCCAGCAGTTAGGACTGAAGCTGCTCCATCTGAGTGCATGCAGGCCTCCTCATCTCTGCTGCTCTGGGAGGGAGCTGTGTTTCTGCAGATGGTAAATATTTAATTCTTACCTAACACAGCCTATAAATCACGCCGGGGCAGTGGTGCCTCGGGGGAAACGCACTCTCCACCATTTATGGCGCAGGTGCTCTGACCTCTCTGCCCAGACCGGGATGGAACGGAGAGTCTGAGGTGGCAGCCAGGTCTTGAGCTGAAAGCACCCCCATCATCATCCTCCCTCTTTTCTTGGGGGAGCTGTGTCATAAATACAACAGAATCCTAAACCTGCCGACTGGTGGGCAGATTGTGAGAATTATTGCTCAGCCAAGGGCTTCAGACTGAGAGATTCATGCCCTGCCTCATAATTACACTGGCTTGACACAGCAGAAAACTGATAAGGTTCCAGTAAAGTCTATGGGGAAATGTAGCAAAGAATGCACTGATTATATTTCTTTTCAGAAACCCTAAGAATGTGTAATATTTCACAGGATAACTTAATTTGGCAACAATGGGTAATATTATGTTTCAATGTCATAGTAATAAAGTCTGAGGTAGTTCAAATAATAGCAAACCACTGTCTAAATCAAAAACTAATTTTTAAAATTACAGCCGATTAAAGTTTTTTCCTTAAGAAAGTGGAAACTGGGCTGGATTTGGACTATATGAATGTATGTAGTCAGCCTGAAGGCTCTTATCGTGGCAGTAACAGGTGATGGAAGAATATCCCTCTTCTGCCTCCTTGTAGCTGTGTGTGTTTGTGTGTGTGTGTGTTTGTGTGTGTGCATATGATGTGCATGTGTGTGTTCATGTGTAGGACGTGTATTATGTGCATGTGTGTGTATGTACATGTGTGTATGTTGTGTATATGTTGTGTATGTGTGTGTATGTGTGTGCATATGTAATATGCATATGTATGTATGTGGGGATTTGTGTGTGTGTTGATGTGCATTTTGTGTATATGTATGTGTCTGTATGTGTGTATGTTATTTATGTATGCATGTGGGGATTTGTGTGTGTGTTTATGATGTGCATTGTGTGTGTATATGTGTGTCTATGTTTGTGTGTGTCTCTCTATATGTGCATATATGATATGTATATGTATGTAGGTAGAGATTAGTTTGTACCTATAGTGTGTGTGCATATGGTGTGTATGTGTGTGTTCTTTACATTCGTGTGTGTCTCTGTATGTGGGAAGGGAAGGGGAGAGATGTTTGTTTTGTGTCTTCCACAGGGGCAGCAAACCACAGCTCCTGAGCCAAATCCAGCCTGCTGCTTATTTGCTGATTTTCGCATGGCTTGCAAACTAGGAATGATTTCCACATGTTTACGTGGCTGAAAAAAAATCAAAATATTTCATGACATGTGAAAACTATACGAAGTTCAAATATCAGTGTCCCACAGGGTAGTTTTACTGGTACCAGTCAAGGCTCACTTGCGCATGGTCTGAGACTACCATTGCGTGGCAGTGGCAGAGCTAAGTGGCTGTGGCAGAGACTGTGTGGCCGATTAAGCCTAAAATATTGACAGTCTGGCCCTTTGCAGAGAAAGTGTGCCGGCCCTGGGCCCCTGCAGACACTTTTCATGGTCTATCTCTCCTTGTCCTCATCTAATGCCAGGTGCTTTCTT